TGGGGGGGGGGTGGTGTCCCATTGTTTCGTACCCGTTCTCTACGGAAATCTTTGGAAGGGGGAGGAGAAATCCCGCACACCATGATGTTTGTGAAGCACTCAGAGTTCGCTGTCTTTCACACGGCTGTAAAAAGGAACTTTAACCGGATGTCACTAAAAGTTCATCGTCGTCATCAGTCTGTAGCACCCTACATCTGTATCGTCGTCATTATCGTCATCATTGTCACCTGTCATAATCATATTCGAGTTCATCATCTCTGTCATCCTTGTATCGCTATCATTGCCACCAAGATCATCACCATTATCGCAGTCGTCATAATTATTATCGTCATCGCCGTCGTTTTCATCACTATGACAGTGTTACTGTCATCGTTACGAACTTTTCAGCATGACCGACGTTGTCGCATGATCACGACGAAAATCCGTTGCTGGTAATTAACATCCGCTGCGACGACACACAAGGTCGCTTTGCCTAGCCACGTTGCCAAACGGCGACCACCAAACAGCCGATTCTGCTGCTACTGTGTACATCGACATCGTGTAGGTGACGCTTCAGCGGATATCGAAACGGAGTTTATTATGATTGCCATGAGTATCCATTTTTCAGTGCCGCAAATGATTCTGCGCATGCCATATCAATCGCACATGTGCATGTTTGTATATTGTAGCATAATTCCTCCAGGATCAGAGTTCACGATGTATTGTATGGACCTTTTGATCCTTGTTTGCTATGGAATATTTAAGCGAGTAACACCTGCATGGTATTTGAGCATTCGCAGTGTTCGCATCTCGCATCATTTGATTCGCCGCTAGAGTAATCAGTTGATTATCATGAACCGTTTAAAGACCTGGCATCATGTACTGCCTGTGTGATATCATCATCAGCCTTTTCCACTGTTGCGTGAAGGCCTCTCAAAGACTTCGCCACAGACTTCTGTTTTCTTTTAATTTTCATCCGTCTTGATCTAGCGAGTTTCTCAAACTCATCCTGCCTTATCGTTTTTCTACCAGGTCTTTCTACGAGCCGTTTACTCTCTCTTGGGATTTAGTTTAACGGCTTTCTGGTCCAACGATGATCGGTTCTTCTTGCGACGTGTCTTGTCCGTTGCAGCCATAATTTCACCTGTGCACTGACATCGTAGACCCTTGTTTCTGCTTTTAACGATTCGCCCGTAATCCTATTTCTTGTTTTTATTCTCAACATTTGTCTTTCCGTACTTCGTTGCGTATTTTGCAGTCTATGAATAACTTCCATATTTACGATGCACGTTTCGCGTCTATTAATTACCGCTGGAAGCACACACTGATCGAAAACCTTCCGTTACTGCCTGCACTGGTGCCGTTTCGGTACTGCCTGTATGTAATGGCATAATCACAGAAAGTGTTCCAACGCCGAAGTATAGCAGCATACATGTACGTGACGTAACTTCTCATTTTGAGCGTATAGAACTTCATTCATCGCTCGGTCAGATGATAAGGTCAGAAATTTTGCTGTTCGCTGATGGAGCTGCCATGCACACTAATTAGGACAGTAAAATTCAGTGATAAGATATCATTAACTAATGACTGCGTTACGGTAAAGTTAATCATCGGTCAGCTTTCAGGTATTTAAGGAATGTTCTGATTAACGTTGGATCGTTAATGATCGGTCGGTAGTCGACGTTTTTTACCCAGCCTGAAATCGTCGCGCCCGTCAGGAAAAAGTAACAGGCTTCCTCGAAAAGGAAGGCTGTTGAATAGTTCGTCTCATTTATGAAGACGTTGACCATTGCCATAGGTCTAACTTCACTGTTCATGTCGCTGGGAGCGGGCACCGACTAAGGTACATTAGTCCATGCCAGTGCGAATGATGGTGGAGAGGGTATTTACTGAGTTATGGAGACGTGTGATCCACGCTTAAGCAGTTGACTAACAAGGCCGTAGTATAGTTGATGAACGCACCTCCCTTTTTTGTTTATCAATCAAATTCTTCCTGTAGAAGAAATCTCTGACCTTAATTATGGCGAAAAGACTCGATAGTTAGCCATCCTTGAGAAGCTTGCTGGAGCGTTTTCACCGTGCCGTCTACCCGTTGGAGGAAGGATGACCATTCATGTGCCATACGATAACAGACATCTCTAGGATATTACGTGGACGATGGCAAGAAATGCAAAGAATATGACATCGTGCTACGTGAATGGTTAAAACCTGAAAAACCAGGCCTAGATATGCAACCCAAACGTATATGTCACGTCATCATTTGACTGAACGGAGAAGAAAGTTTGTCATTGTCATTAATTATGGCTGGTTTAGTGACAGATTCGATCGAGCTTGAGGAATCAAACCGATTGCTTAGTGAATTTACCTGGCCAAAACTTTCGTTGAACATACGCGAGGTGAGGATCGAAACGTTGGTACCGTTTCCTCGGTCACTCAGTTGAATTTCATTGAGAATATTTTTCGTTGACTTTCGGTGTTTAGAATATTTCGCAACGTGGCTGAACGATACAAGGTCGTGATTAAGTCGAATCAAGTGTAGTATGCCAGTTGGTCGTTTTGTCGTCGATCAGTGGCCACTTACCTGCCTGTCACTCGAAGGTCGCCATGGATGTGTGGACGTATGATTCAGTCGATCATCGCCGTAGTCTGTTTTTTTTTCATTTGAAACAACCGACTGAACGTAATCGTTTGCGACTGAATTCGCTGATTGCTCGAATCGGAATGCCGGTCTGCAGAGTTTTCATCTGTGTGCCCGTTGCATTTTGGAGGGCGACGTCTTCGGTTTTCGTCGTCGCTCGGTCGGTCGGTCGGTCGTGCTGCGTTATTGCCTGACGGTTGCCACCCAGCGAACGACCGACAACAGCAGTGTTAACTGGCAGCATTGACAACGTACTTGGCTGGAATTGGCCTGCCGGACGAAGTTAATACAGGCCATCTTTTCGTTGGTTTATGTTTTTATTGCCCGTTACTTGACCACGTTGCGTTCTAGCAGTTCAGCGGGTGTGCATGCAGGTCCAGGTGCCAGACTTTGGACTTCCGATACCCAGATCCCCCCCTCTACTTTTACTTTGCGATGTACGACTTAACTGGAGCCAAACTGTGCGGTAGTTGGTGCGGTGCAAATGCCTACCTTAACTCGAATCACGGTTTCCCTTAAAAACATTTTTAGGCGCACAACTCGATTCTGACAAGGTTTCTCGGCGTTAGTCGGTACTGCCTCCTTCCTTTTTCTGGGATTCGGTGGGAGTCTTTTTTAAAAGACCACGCTTCCGGTGTTCTTAAACTTGCAGTGCAGTGCAGACATGCCTCTCGCATAATTTTTTACCTATACTATTACGTTGCTCGCCAGCAAGTGGGTAGCACTGTAACACCGCGAAATTCGGTTTGCTCCGGCTGGAGAACACATATTTGACGTTTTGCAAACGCATGAAAGAAGTTGACCGGCTCTTCAAAAATCGTTGGTGATAAGTAGTCAATAAATGTATACGAGATGCACCTACGCCCTGCAGGCGTTAAAATTTCATAGCAAAAAAAGAGGAATGCATGCAACCATTGAGACGTCGCTCATGATGAGACCATTACTTGCGCCTTTCTTTTCATGACGTTAATGGTGAGGTGATGATCTTCACATTTTTACGCTTTGAGCCCGGAATGCCTTTTTTCAAAGAAGAGTCGACATTGACATCATCCATGTCGCAAGCATAATATGTGGTCGCCGGTTTCTTTCCTACAGAGTGGTACGTATTAGTCAACTACGCAGTTAAGAAATCCTAGTGATCCGATCGTTTCGTGCCTAAGATCTCTGAGTTTTGACTCCGACACTCTGTTGATTGAGCATCCCCCTTGTCCGAACATTTCTTTAAACCGCGAGTTGCTTATAAAGCCTGCGCTTGCAATGGTCTCTACGGCAAGGGAGCAGTGTCTCAACGTTTTGAAACCTAGCTTCGGGGATTTGATTGGTGCTGATTCCAGAAAAGTTCTACATAGTTTGCTGTTTCACGTCGACAGGGTACAGTACTGCGATCTATTTCTTATGCAGTACGCAAAGCCTGAATGCATTACTCTACCCATGTACAGATTGTGTAGCTCAGTTAGCATCACAGTGTCAGGCCTAATGAATGATGTCGTCCTCATTTCTCTTGAAAGAATAGTACACACCGTCAGCCAATTAATATTTAATTGTCGGTGAACTTTCTCTGGAAACACGTTCCTTGATTCTTAAGCTAGCTATTCATTTTCGCTTGCAGGCGATACGTTTTGGAAGGACTTACAGTAGTTTCGTGGGGGGGGGACCGGTTCTCCGCCAATCGGATAAGCTTCAGGGGCTGGATCGCAGGCGCGATATTCATTGACCCAAGCCGTCTGATCTTCGGTTGGCCAGTTGACCACTGTGCTGTAGTTTTGCAAAGGAAGCCCATTTTGCGAGTCTGGTCATTCCGTCACTTCTCTCTTGTACCCTTGTTGTATATCCAAACCAAACTACGGAAGAAATGTGTTTCAAATCGACATTATCTCGAATATCCATATTCTGAAGCTTGTCTAACCTCGTCCACTACTACTACTTCGAATGAGCTCTCATTTTTGATGCTGCTATCGTCACTTCATGACCATATGTGAGGCGGGACACTGGAAGATGGACAACTGCGTCGTCGCTCAGCCATTTTTTATCGCTGCCATAGCTCGACCGATTTGTGCTTATCTTCTCGCCCTATCCGTTGTCACTCGTGAATACCGCTTCTAGATTTTGAAACTTTTTTACCTGTCAGATTCTCCCTAGTAAGCTGCAGTTGATACTGAGTCACCTTAGTCCTTCGTGCTAAAGCTAAGCCTTGGTTGTGGCCTGACTGATTTTCATCCCCATCTAATTGCATTCGACCTCAACGGAGCATCACGCGCACGGTAGAGGTTAGCATGAGAGAAAACGCGCTGACAGATCTTCTGTACGCAACAGATGACTGATTCGAATTCTTCCAACTGCGACGTTGTACCCTCCAAAATGCTGTACAGTTTCTGTGACGATGCTGTGGCGGTTGCAGCTCCCGTTGCTCAAGCAAATAGGCTTTATTGACTGACGTAGAAACGGAATGTAGAGTTGGAAAAGGGTGGAAAAGTCACTGTAACTGGCTTAAATATCAGACTGGTATAGCATTGTCGGGTCCAGGTCTGTAACCATGCATTTTGCGTATATCGTTAGGATTGCGCATCGTGGAATTGTCTGTACGGCGACGGCGACCCTCAGTGAAATTGTTGTAAGGACGTTTACTTGTGCTTGACTCTCTCTATCTTTCACCATGCTGTGTGTTGAACTTAGAGGTAGCTGTCGAGATTAGCTCAGACGCCTTTTCCTAACCTCTTTTTTCCATGAGGAGGGATGGCCGACGTATTCATACATTCATTCATTTGTTCATCTTTCCATAAAGCGCTCTATTATGCTAATAAGCAGGAACCTTTCTGGCCCTTTTCAAGTAGTTATTAGACAAATAATATCTATCCACCCGTCAGTCCCTCTGTATGGTTGACTATTCCTTCGGGGTGAGAGGGAACAACTTTCGGGGCACTTTCTCTGGTAGTTCCTATGCTCCTTCAATCAGGCCGACTCAGCGCATTGTATCCAGA